ATTCACAACAAGCATTAATCATCTGAAGATCTCACCAAACCCACTTTGCTCAACAGTACACCCATGTTACAACTGCTCCTCCATCTCTGGAGGAGATCAGAAAGCCAGTGCCTGGTCTAAGACGCCCAGTCAGCTTGTTGTGTTAGAGTAGAGAAATCATCAGAGAGAAAGAGGAAAACTTATATAACACAGCAACATATTAAGCCCATTTCTGGAGCTCAACTATTAATTACATGAGTGTGTAAGCGTAAAATGAGCAAAGTGCATTTTGATTCACCTCCACTTTTAATTCTTTCTTTGCTTAAATGAAAAAAAAAATATATTCTGGTGCCTTTTCATATGCTGTAATTACATATGTTGCTGGGTATTTCAATTATTTCTCAGTAATGACAAACCCTTATCATTAATGTAGTTATGCACATTAACTAGATTGTATTTTGTTGTGTAATTACTATCTGCTTATTTCATTACAAACAAGGAACACAATCAATACATATTTAAATAATAGGTTTCTTTCAAAACAATGTAGAAAGAAAATGTAGTTTTTCACGAAGAAGTGTCCTTTCTGACTAGATGTGGCAAACTTCAGAATTAATGCACTGCATTAACACTACAGTTAAATGCAGTTCTAGAAATCTGCTTAGTACTCTTTTCAGCAATAATTTCAGCTATTAGTCCTAGTAAAATTTAGGAGGAAAAAAGTATCACTCCTGAAAAACAACCAAAAAAAAAAGGAATCTTAAAGCAGGAACAAGAAACAAGTTGCCTACAAAATTTAACCGAGAAGAGTGTATTTCACTGAGGGAAAAAAGAAGTGCTTATCATGCCATTTAGCTTTTCACACCACATATCAATAAGGGGTTTTTTCATAACCCAGCAACACACAAGAGGAAATTTAAAAGCTATTTACAACATTTGTTTAAGACAATCCATCCTATTAACATCGGTACTTGTGTACCCTTTCCTCAGGCCTAATAATTAATTAATATAAACTAATATGTTACACTAAAAAGAGCTCTTGCATTAGAACTTTGTTATAGTGCAAATCACCACTGTGAGCTTACACAACCACGCATATGAATTGTTTCACAAAATCATAGAATAGCTTAGGTTTGAAAAGACCCCGAAGATCACACCTGACTTAACCCAGCACTGCCAAGTCCCCCACTACCTCATGTTCTTAAGCACCATGTCTGCTAAATACACATGGAGCCTCAACTACTTCTCTGGGCAGCCCCTTCCAATGCTTGACAACCCCTTTGTGATGAAGTTTTCCCTAACACCCAATTTAAACCTTCCCTGGTGCAACTCAGGGCCTTTTCCTCTCATCCTGTCTCTGTTAACTTACTTCAGGTGTTGTAGAGAGTGGTAAGGTCTCTCCTAAACCTACTTCTCTCGAGGCTAAACAACCCCAGCTCCCATAGCTGCCCTTCAAGCCTTGTGCTCCAGAGCCTTCACCAGCCTTGCTGCCCTTCTCTAGACACACTCCAGCACTTCAATGCCTTGACTGAGGGGCTCAGAACTGGACACAGCTCTTGCAATGCAGCCTCACCAGTGCTGAGTACAGGGGGACAGTCCCTGCCCTGGTCCTGCTGGCCACACTATTGCTGATTTGGGCCAGGATGCCATTGGCCTTCTTGGCCACCTGGGCACACTCTGACTCATGTTCAGCTGTAGTCAATGAGCACACCCAGCTCCTTTTCCACAGTGCAGCTTTCCAGCCACTCTGCCCTCAGCCTGCAGCACTGCAGGGGGTGCTGTGAGCCAAGGGCAGGAGCCAGCACTCCGTCTGGTTGAACTTTGTATGCTTGGATTTGACCCAGCCTGCAAAGCTCACTCTGCAGAGCCCTTCTACTCTGCAGCAAATCAGCACTCCCACCCAGCCTGGCGTTGTAGTGAACTGACTACAGCAGCCCTCAACCCCCTTGTGCAGACTGCTGATTAAGATATTAAACAGGACTGATCCCAGCACTGAGCCCTGGGGAACCACTACTCATGACCAGCTGTCAGCTGGGTGTAAATCCATTCACCACTCCTCTGGGCCCACACATCCAGTGTTTTACCCAGGAAACAGTGCTCTCATCCAAGCCCTAAGCAGCCAGTTTTTCCAGGAGAATGCTGTGGAAAATGGTGTTAAAGGTCACAGTGAAGTCCAGGTAGACAACCTGCCTCTTTTTCTCATCCACAGGCAGGTCACCTGGTCACAGAAGATCAGGTCGTTCAAGCCTTTCCTAAACCCATCCTGGTTGGGCCTGATGCCCTGGTTGTCCTGTGCCACATGATGGCACTCATGATCATTCCTCTATGACCTTCTGTGGCACCAGCATCAGGCTGGCAGGCCTGCAGTTCCCAAGTCATTCTTTCAAACCTTCCTGTAGATGAGTGTCACATTTGCCAACCTCCAGCCAAGCACAGCCTCCCCAGCTGACCAGGACTGACGGTAAATGATTGAGAGTGGCTCAGTGAGCACTTCCAGCAGCTCCCTCAGTGCAGGAAACATGGCTGGAAAGCAGCCTGGCACAAAAGGACCTGGAGGTGCTGGCTGACACCCAGCTGACAGCAGTGTGCCCATGTGGCCAAGCAGGCCAGTGACATCCTGGCCTGCATCAGCAATAGTGTGGCCAGCAGGACCAGAGACTGACCAGTGGTTGTCCCCCTGTACTGGTGAGGCCACACCCCAAACCTTACCTTCAGCTCTGGCCCCTCACTACGAGACACTGAGGTGCTGCAGTGTGTTCAGAGAGGGCAGCAAGGCTGGTGAAGAGCCTGGAACACAAGTCCTGTGAGAAGCAGCTGAGGGAGGTAGGGCTGTTTCAGCTGGAGCAAAGGGGGCTCAGGGAGACCTTACTGCTCTCTACAATACCTGAAAGGAGCCTGTGCATAGGCAGGAGTTGGTCTGTTCCTCGGCCACTCAGAAGAGGAAACAGACTCAAGCTGCACCAGGGGAGGTTCAGGTTGGACAGCAGGAGGGAATTTTTCACTGAAGGGGTGGTTAAGAATTGAAAGGAGCTGCCCAGCAGGGTGAGGGAGTCTTTGTCCCTGAAGTGCTCAAGAACCAACTTGGTTTAGTTGACAGACTGGTGTTTGGCCAAAGGTTGAACTTGATGATCGTGGAAGTCTTTTCCAACCTTAGTGAATCTGTGCTCTAGTCTGTCAATCTGTGACTACTCCCCATCCCCGTTTTCCAGCTCAGGGAGCTGGTACACAGAGACAAACTGGTCTGAGTGCTCAAACTGAGGCAAAGAAGGCATTAAACACCTCAGCCTTTTCCTCATCTTTTGTTACTGTTTCCTCCTCCATCCAATAAAGATGGAGACTTTACTTAGCCCTCCTTTTGCTGCTGATGTATTTATAGAAATATTTTCTTTTATGGCAGTAAACACTTTAAGTTGTAGCTGGGTTTTGACCATCTAATTTTTCTCCCTGTGTAACTTCCTGACATTCTTCAGCCCTCCTGAGTTGCCTGCCCCTTCTTCCAAAGGTCACAATCTTTCCTTTCTTCCTTCAGTTCCAGCCAGAACTCCCTGTTTAGCCAGCCCAGTCTCCTTCCCCACTGGCTCACCCTTCAGCACACAGGGATGGCAATTACCACTGTCTTTAGAACATCATGTTTGGGAAGGAGGATTCCTATTAATTAAGATTTTTTAATACAAAAACATCTGTATAGATCACTAGCTTCTAAACACACAACAACTGATAATCCCTCACATAAGGATGTTTTCCCTGGATTATTATTCGGGGTTGATTTTACTCAAAGGTAAACATCAGAACATATTTCAGAAAACTAAACTCTTATTTTGCCATTCAACTAATCTGCACGTCTCCTATTACAACAACAAAAAAAGCAGATAGGGAGAAGCCCAAACATGAACTAACGGTTTTGCAACAAACCTGGCAAACGGCCAGGGGTTCAGAGGTAAGACTGTATGGGCTAGGGATGAGATCATGCTAACAGCCCTCCCAGACAGAGCACAGAGCCATCCAGCTTCTTGTGCCTGAGGAAAGCAGTTTAGAGAAGGCAAGTACAAAATGGGGCATGGCTCTGTAATCTGTGCAGTCAGGTTAGCTATTTGCTGCTTGTCATTGTCTTGTTTACCAGTAACTGATTTTCCTAAACTCCAGAAAAGCCTTCAGGTGATTTCTGATCCCATCTACACTTCTGTTTTCTGGGACTTTGCATGAATAGATTTACAACTTAACCATACAAAATATCAGTTAAAGAAAGTTTTCTATTACTTTTGGTAAACTTTCAAAAAAGTCTTATTCTTTTCACTCATTCTCATACCAGATCAATAATTTCATTATTAGACCATAACAGATTACTAACCCCCACCAAGTTATTTTTTTTTTACTTAAAGTCCTACCCTTCTTTCCCTCTTTTTAGGGCAGTTCTTACATTAACTTCAGTTGTTCTTTTGTGGTTTTCTTTCCCTTTCCCACACCAGTTGCTCCCAACAGCAAGCCTGGGGGCAGGCTCCCTGTTCCCTTCCCGCTGTTCCAGAAGCCAAACGCTGCACAACCCATCTCAGAAAGCTGTTCCAAGGCTGCATTTCACTTCCTTTCCATTTCACTTCCTACTGATTTCACAGAATCACAGATCTGTTAGGGCTGGAAGGCACCCCTGGACATTCATTATTGAGTCCAATGCCGCGGTCGGGGCAGGGTCACCTAGAGCGGGTTACCCAGGAACGCGTCCGGCTGCCTTTGGAACATCTCTAGAGGGAGACTCCCGGACTCCCCGGGCAGCCTGTCCCGGTGCAGGAGCGCCCTCAGCGCCCAGCCCCTCCTCGTGGTTCCTCTGACACAACGGGCGCGGGTGTACTCCGCCTGCCGCCTCCCTTCCTGGCCCTGCTCCGGCCCTCCCCGACACGGCAAACCGCGGCGGGTGCCGCACTCCCCCCGCTCCCGACCCTCGCCTCACCGCGCTGCCGCCCCCCCGCCGTTGCCCCGGGCCGAGGAGCGGCGGGCGGGGCGGGGGCGGCCGTGCCCGGCCCGCTCACCCAGGCACACGAACAGCACCGACTTCCCTTCCCCCGCCGCCATCTTCGCCCAGAGGACCTCGCGGCTGTCGCACCGCCCGCGCCTCACTTTACGGCACCGGCTGTTATAGGCGCCTGTGGGACTTGCCTGTTTTGAGGGGGGGAAAAAGGAGTGAAGTATGGAACGTGCCCGGGACAGCGGGAAGGGAGGGACGGGAAAGGGAGGGACGGGACCGGACCGGACCGGGCAGCGCCGGTGCCGCCGAGGGGCCGCTGCCGGGAAGGGGAGCGGGCGGTTCGCAATCGCCCCTGCCCCGCCCGCCTCACCTGCGGCAGGTGCGCGGCTCGGCGGGGCCGCCTCTGCGCCGCCCAGTGAGGCTGCGGCGGCGGCAGGAGGAGGAGAGGAAGCGAGGGGGAGCGGGGGAGCCCCGGCCCGGGCAGGAGTGAGTATCCCGCGGGGGCCGGAGAGAGGGTCCCGGGGCCCGGTGGGCTCCGCAGCGCAGCAGCCGCGGCGGGCCCGGAGCCGCCCCCGCAGCCCGCGGGCGGAGCGAAGGCTCGTAGGCGCTGGCACACCGCAGCCCCTCGTCAGCCGGGGTCGCAGCAGGTGCTGCGTCTTCCACGTTAAAATCTAAGAAGCGTCGAATGCGGCTTTGGCCTCGCCAGGCTGCTGGTGAAATTGAGCACAGGGGCGCTTCGCTTTCCAGGGCAGCTCGAGTGTCTGGTTTTTAGTTTGTTTAGTTGCATTTTATTTCTATGTATAATATAGACAGATTATATTTACCTACTCTGCATTGTAAGACATATATATATATGTATATGCACATCTATTTTTACATTTTATTTATTTTTTAAAGTATATAATTTTTTAAACTTTTGTACGTATTTATTTCTATTTTTTCTGCTGGGCTATCTTGTACGCTGGATCTGTGTACCTGGCTGGGTTTTGTAACACCAGCAGACGCAGCCCCAGCACGGCAGGGTGTGGCCAGGACTGGATTCCTCTGCTGCTTTTTAAAGACTTGCTTGGCTGGTCTTCTGGTCAAAAAGCAGCAGTTTGGAGGTTAAATAAAAAAATGCCAGATTCTTAATTTTGTGTCAGATCTGTGACTTGCAAATGAAAGCTGAAGAGCTTATATAACGTTTGCTGTGGAATGGAGCAAACTGCACTTTTCCTTTTGTGCAGCTTGAAATGCTACCCTGCGTACGCTGCTTGTTTTGTAAATACGATTGTACAGCCACTTTTTAAAAATGTTCTAGGTGTTTGACTTTATTTGCTGCGCAATGGAGCAAACTGCACATTTCCTTTTGTGCAGCTTGAAATGCTATCCTGCATAGCTGCTTCTTTTGTAAATAGGGTTGTACAGCCACTTTTTAAAAATGTTCTAGTTGTTTGACTTTGCAGTGGAAGGGATTGGTAATCAGCTGCGTGGCTTTTGTCCCCGGTGCCTGCAGCATCCCGCTGTTGTCGGGCCAGCTCTCAGGTGCTGGGGTGTGAGGTGGTGGAACCAGACCGGGGCCAGGGCTCTTCCTACTTGTCAGACGTGGCCTTGGCAAAGGAGGGTGGGCTGAGTCACTTGTGCCATTCTCACTTGTGGCTCTGCCATACTGTAGCTGAGCAGGCAGAGTGCCTTCAGTCCTGCTTTCTGTCACATGCAGCCCCTTGTGGTGTCGACACTGGAAGCGGATTTCCCCCTCCAGCCCCGTTCCTGTGTTTGTGGGTTGGGCAGGGTGAGGCTCTGTGTAGAAGCGAGTGCTTTGAAAGGCCGTCCTGGAGTTCCTATAAAACCCCCTGTTTGTAGCTTGCGTGTCACATGCAGGCACATGCCTAGCTGTAATTTTGAGGCCAAGTCTTTCATGTTTCCCTGTCTTTGGGAGGGAACTGGGGAGGATCCTTAAGTGTTATTCCAGTCTTAATTGAAGGGATTGTCAAGCATTGGAACAAGGCTGCCCAAGGACGTGGTGGAGTCACCATCCCTGAAGGTGTTCAGGGAAAAACTGGACGTGACACTTATGGCTGTGGTCTAGCTGACAAAGTGGTGTTTGGTCAGAGGTTGGACTTGATGACCTGAGAGGTGTTTTCCAGCCTAAATGATTCTCTCATTTTCAGCCTGCAGCAGTGGAAGAGAGACACAATTTTTGTCTTCTTCAGCCAATGGCTACTTCATGCCTTTGAAATGGACTGTGACAGACTGTGTTGTCTATGGTTTCTCACCATTAAAAATTACTCTTTCTGGTGTAATAAGCTGTCCATATTTTGAGGGCTTTTGAAGCAGTTCTTGCATTGTTGTAAAAGAGCCTCTAATGCAGGGCTGTTATGAAGGATAACTTGTATGACTTAGTGAAGGAGAAACGCTCTTGTGAAGAAGATAATTTAAGAACTTAGGAAAAACTAGAGTTCTTCTAATTCTTGATTGGTAAATATCAAGCATCTTCACTTTTTAAAAGTTTATTCGTTTTAGCTTGAATAAATATTTCTTGTGTGTTTAATTGTAGGAATTAATTAGTTGTGGGAATTGGTGACTTCTTAGATTTGATTCACACACATAGTGAATTGGGACATCTGTGAAGTGTGGAAATGACAATCAGAATGATGGTAACAGTTTTCTTGACAGAAGTGTTAAGTATTGTCATTGGGAAGTAAGCAGAATCTGTATTTTGTTTAGGCAGTTAATATTTTTTCATGGTAGCATAGAGGGCTATTGTGTACTGCACATCTGGGTTTCATATTACATTTTTATTCTCTCTGTACTTCTGGCCTTGGTGAGAAGATAAACAAGATGTTTGTTTGGGATTTTTGTATAAAAACAGCCTTGTTTTAGTTAGAACTTTCATTTGCAAAGGGTAATAATGTTAATATGCTTGGGTTGCCCTGAAGTTTATTCTTCATTATTGAAATACAGTTAACAAGTCAAAATTAAGATTTCCTTTGGGATTTTCCCCTTACCCCACTGTCTAAATTTCACATGTCATACCAACTCCTGTATTAAGATGACACAAGGTGGAACTGAATTTGTAGCTCTGACTTAGCTTCAGTCATGCTGCTTATCTTACTTGTTGGGTAGGACCTCTTTGGTGCCAATTGTTTACACATCCAACATATTATGATAAATGTATATGAAAGACTTGCTAAAGGGTTTCAAGTGGACAGCATCCTGGGGCATGGGTGTGGGCTGGATAGGTGTGGTGGCATGTTTTGAGCCAAAGCCTGCAATTCTTGTAGTACAAATTCTTGCTAGAGTTCACACATGAGTCTCAGACACCCCCCCAGCACAGCTCTGCCTTTTGTGCATGATTTAGAGCACATCACTGTCATCTGTATTCTTGAAAATGATGTTTTATGATTCTTTTTGCACAAATGGAAATGCCACTTATGTTTCTCCTTTGTTCTAGTGCAAAGGCTACAACTTGGTTGTAGAACTGTGGGCTTGGGATTTTAGTATTGCAATTGCTAAAAGTTACAAGTATTTTTGAAGACTTTTAGCTACAGGTATTCCACTACTTTGCCTCCTATGCACGTGGACAGATGTCTAAAGTCCTTTTTGGAACAAATCCTCTGTGCCTCAGGCGGGTCTCAACTCTCTTCACATGCCACAGTTCCTTAGAAATAAGGAACATCACCTAGTTGAAACATCTTGCATCTACAAGAAAAACACATTTTTCTGTAAAGTACATTTTTCGGCTTTGTCACTCTCATTTTACCCTCATGTATTTCAGCTTTCATCAGAATAGGAGATGAGAGGAAATTCTGCATCCCTAATTAGCATTTTCTCCAAGCTGATTTCAGTACAAAAACTGCTGGGAACCCAACTCATCAAATGCTTTTGATAAGGCAGGAGACTGTGTTACAGGGCTTTTTTTTCCTTGACTTTTCTCAAGGAAACAGTTAATTCAATATGAGACTGAGGTCTGATACCACATAAAGTTACTAAGTGATCAACTTTGTGTTTGAATTAATGAAGTTCTTTCCTCTCACTGGAGAAAAGTTATAAAAATTATGCTATGACAAAATGGGGTATGGGTTTTTTACATATTGTAGGATTATTTTACTATTAAAAAAATGAATATTTCATGTGAAAAATATTGAGCTCCCATGATCTAGAAGTGCATACATAATTGCTTGCAAGATTTGAAAAGGCAGGTTGTAAACACTAGGGCTGACCAAAAATCTTTTATGCTTTTGGACACTATACATGACAATAGTGACACTGATACAGCTCACAAGGGTTATTACTTTTATCACATTTCATACCATATAATTTATATCAGGTAGCCTGTGCAAAGACTAAGCTTATTTTGGATGTGTTATTTTATATAATTATTGCATTTCAAATAAATTTTGCTTTGCTTTCCAAAAGGTCATCATCTGACATCTCAATTTATATCTCTGTAAGCCTGAGTTTACAAAATACCTGTGCTTAGAGGACAACAGCCTAAAAACTTGACCTTGAAGTTTACTTACTGCTTTAAAAAAGTCATAGCAGAAAGCCTTAAACATACATTCAGTGTTTATCCTCAGCAAGTTTTTGCTGATGACACAAAGCTGAGCAGTGCCATTGATACAGCAGAAGGACAGGATGCCATCGAGAGGGACCTTGACAAGCTGGAGAAGTGGTACCATGAGAACATCATGAAGTTCAACAAGTCCAAGTACAAGGTGCTGCACCTGGGTCAAGGCAATCCCAGATACAGGGATTGTCAAGCATTGCAACAGGCTGGGAGAGGAACTCACTGAGAGCAGCACTGCTGAGAAGGACTTGGAGGTTAATGGCAGACAAATGCTGGACATGAGTTGGCAATGTGGCAGTGTGCCCCTGCAGTCCAGAAAACCCAGCTGCACCCTGGGCTGCATCCAAAGCAGCGTGGGCAGCAGGGCAAGGGACAGGATTCTCCCCCTCTACTCTGCTCTCATGAGGCCCCCGTAGAGTGCTGCTTCCAGCTCTGGAGTTCTTAGCACGAGGCAAATGTGGACCTGTTGGAGCAAATTCAGAGAAGGGCAACAGAGATGATGAAAGAGATGAAGCCCCTCTCCTGTAGAGCCAGGCTGAGAAAGCTGGGTTTGTTCAGCTTGAAGAGACAACTCCAGGGAGAGAGGTGATGCCTAAAAGGTCTTTTTACACAGACAGATGGTGACTGAACAAGGTGTAGCAATTTTAAATGAAAAGAGGGAAGATTAGACGTTAGGAATACATTCCTTACTGTGAGGGTGGTGAGGCCCTGGGAACAGGTTGCCCAGAGGAGTTGTGGATGCCTCGTTCACGGCCACGTTGGGTGGGACTTCGAGCAGCCTGGTCTAGGAGAAGGTGTTCTTGCCTATTACAGGGGGCTGGAACTGGATGATCTTTCAGGTCCCTTCCAACAGAAACCATTCAGTGACTCTCTCATAAAGGCTGTGAAGAGTTGCTCCTCTTAGAGTACTAGCTAATGGTGCATAGTGCCCATGCAG